TTTCAAATGGAGTTTAAAAATAGACTTTTAAAACTTGTGGTATAAAATAAATCATTAATGTTTGTGCGGGTATAATTCATTTTATTAAGGGTAAAATACATATATTAAAGTTCAACTATTCCTAAATATAGAAATAAGTCATTCTTTTTTATACGGATTAAAAAGAACAGTAAATCACATAAATTTAAATTGAACAAAGAGAGTAATTCTTTTTAAGTTGTTACAAAATAGCTAGATTTTATTTTTGCGGTATGTATGATTGTCGATGTAGGTACATATGTATGATTATACGTAGGCATAACACATAAATATATCTTTTAAATTGATAAATTTTAAAGTTGTATAAAATCGAACTAGTAGACAAATCCATCTTATAACTCGAATTGTCATGTAGAAATCATCATAACAAACTCTTACAACTTTTATTAGTATTTGTTTTGTGTTAGACTTGGACAAAGTTTGACAGAAAGAAAAATGGCTTATTGTTGTTTGGCATTTCTGAAACAAAAGGCTTTGATCCTGCTAAGGCCATCCTCAAGAGCTGAAATTTCCACAGCAAATGTAACTCTTACCCAATTCTTCAATCCAAGTGCTTCTCCTGTAATGCATTGAATTTATCAACAATGCTCGTAAAATTTCCTCTACATATCGATAATGTTGTAGAGTAATGCAACTTAAGAAATTACCGGGTAGAACAATTGCAGATTCCTCTCTAGCAAGCCTAGTGCAGAACTCCATATCATTGTCGATGCCTTCCAGCAATGACATGTTTAGTTTTGCCTGATAGAAATGATCGCTAATAAGACTATATATTCAGATTCGTTTTCAAACTAAATCTTAAAAAAAACTTATATTAAGACTAAAGTGTTTATAGCAATACCATAAGAAACATGGATCCCTGTGACTTGTATGGAGTAAAGCACGGAATCTCCCTTAGGCCAGCATAGCAAATGTCTGCTGCTTTTCTCAGTAGGTTTATGATATTTGAGTAGAAATCTTCAGGTGTTTCAACAAGAAAACGAGGAATAGCACCCTCGAGAATGAAAGAGAACAAGGTTAGATACTTGGATTTAGTTTCAATTGTTTGAAAGCAATATAATACAAATAGCACAAAAATAATTCATGAAAAATAATGTGTATCACGAGAAACACTACGTGATAATTCAGAAATATGGGGAAAAATATTTGTCTGTATAATTTGAATGCTGATGCAACCCGAGTATCTGGAATTATGCATTCGTTGTTGGCACGAAAATGTTTTGGCAAGATATCATCAAACATTGTTAAAGTACTGTTAGCAGAGTAGTTTTCCATGTTTTTAAGGTGATAACATTTTGCTTGGTCTAACATTTCAGTTAATGGCATACCATATCAAATGTTTTGCATAAAAGCTTGTATAATATACCAGAGTGAATGTAGGAGGACCAACACCGATGTTGAGGTAGTTCTTGATAGACTCCGCAACCTGAGATCAAGAGACAAAAAGTATGATATTTAACTCTGCATATGGATGTTGTATTTGTGAAGTATATATGAAACGCAAGTAGAAATGTGTGGTTTCACGGTGTAAGTGATAGGCATAACTGGAAATCTAATACTTGCTATTTTGTTCCAAGATTCATATATATTTGTCACTTAAAACAAGAAAGAAAAGGTAAATTTCTTCCATAAGAATTTCCGAGAGAGAGAGAGAACCCCATGTTTTTGAAGGATGCCATTGGGATCACACATCACGATCCATCCAAATCGCCAACCAGGAACCATCCATCTCTTTGATATGGAGCCAATTGTCAGAATAGGTGCAATTTCTCCATAGACGCCCATTGGCACAAACGGATTACTACTGAACACTAGATGACCGTAGGCTTCATCTGATATTACTAGCATTCCAAGCTTACTTGCTGCCTCTGCAATCTGTTACTCTCATTCAAGAAACCAACAATTAATGAGCATATCCAAAACCACATTTAACAAAATAAACACGTCTAATGTAACGATGAAACAACCTTCTTCAAATGCTCTCGCTCGTACACATTCCCACATGGATTACCGGGGTTTATAACAACCATGGCAACAGTTTTATCATCTGCTAGAGCTTCAAGCCCATCGATGTCCACCTCCCAATCCTGCTCAGGGAGAAGATCATAGTGCCTCATTTCAAGACGGTTAAATGTGGCAAGTGCTTCATACGCTGGATACCCTGGTCTAGGAAGCAAAATATTAGCACCAGGAACAGCAAGAGCTGTAATTAGGACATCTATTCCATGCTTTGCCCCAGCTGTGACTAGAACATCATTTGGCGACAATTTATATGGATAGTCACGAGACAGATATTCTGCAATTGACCTGGTAAATGTTTGAAACATCAACATTACTCGAATCGTTCTTGCCATTGCAGAGTACAATTACAAAGTTCAATGCACTTATCGTGCAACACAATCAAATCATAACTATAACCATTACCATCACGGTTTAATCCTTTTCAATGGAGAGTAATTAATACTAGGGTGCAGTTTCCTTATCCTACAACCTAAGATGATAGTCTGACATTGATTAACAACGTCAATTATACTAGTCGAGGCTAATCTCATATTTTCTGTTGAGATCTTCCTCGAAAGGGCTATTTAAGCGGAATGTCAACTCAATAACCAACAAAATCATCATGATATATCCAAATACCACAAAAGAAAATGCTAAATAATTACAGTTACAACAGAAACTCAACCCTGTACATGGTTAAAATTACTTTTTATCGTATATATATATATATATATAGAGTAGATGTTGATACCCTTCGACTTCTTCACATTTATACTTCTTCATTTTTCCAAAACATCTAAATGAAAATCTTAGCTCCCGCCACTGAGCCTCAGGAGAAGTAAACAAAAATTAATCAACTCCTAGCAAACCCCAAAACAAATTATAAAAGCCCCAATCCCTACCCTCCATACCAATTATACGACACTCTTCCCATTTTTTGGTACCCTAACCCCCGAAAAAGGAATCTCAATTGGTTGACTACTCGAACTTTGAACTAGTAATTTCACTCACCGATTTCTCCTTCCCCTAAAAGTTACAAAAAGAGTTTAGGATTACCTACTGGCGTGGAAAATATCAGGGTTTCCACAATATCCATTGTATTTCGCAGATTGAAGTGCATCAACAAGAGCATCCTCTGATACTTTACTTGTTCGAAAACTTGGAAAACCACTAGGATCTCCATGGCTAAGAGGGATTACACTTTTTGTATTATCATTTTTGTTAATGTTTTTATTTAAGGTATTGAGATAACTTCTAATAGTGCAAGCTGATGCTGTCTTTGCTTCTTCTTTTCCTTCGAAATTCCATCTCCATTTTGAGCTAACTTCCATTTCTACTATGATTGTTTAGCAGTAGCACAATTTTTCTCTCACTTAAAGAGTTACTCTCTCTCTCTGGCTCTTTTTGTTTTTCAATAATGGAGTGTTTGCTAACCGTAGTAGTACAGGAAATTAATCTAAACTTAGGTGTGTTTGGTACCTTAAAAAATATGTGTGAAAAATGCTTTTATATATTTTTAGAAGGAGTGGAGGTCGTGTATAAGGGTAGAATATTATTAAAGATAAGGTATTGTTTTGCTGTACGTAAGTTTATGCTTGTAAGTATTTTGTAGTTTTTGTCTAATATTGAAGGTAGTGTTTTCGATTATCATAATATTTATTTATTTTTTTGAACTTTGTATTATTTTTCTTATTAACGATTAAGTTTTCTTACATTTTCTTTTTTTACTTAGATTTGATTCACTTGAATCGAGAGTCTTTTGAAATTAGTACTTCTATCGCTTAGAAATAGTTATGATATTTATATACATCTATCTTTCCAAAATCCAACTTAGTAAAATTTCACTAAGTATTATTGTTATTGTTGTCGTTTGATATGTAAATTTTAAATATTATTATTTGAAAAACATTTGTATAATATAATGTGGGGTGATGGGATGGGTATATTTATCTCCGAGTGAAAATGAGATATGTTAGAAAGTGAAGAAGATATACTTAATATAGAATATTACTTTTGAATCTGATTTTTTTAATGGAGAAGTTATTTTTCATATAAGTATCGAACCTAAGTTATTAATCAAAAAGGGAAATGCTTCGCTCAAAAAAATTATATTTAGAAGGGGTTCCTTATGCTTAGACAATCAATACTAACAGTTAAATGTAAAAGAATGATATTCACAATTTAATAGAGATACAAAAAATATTGGGCAATTTCTTTTATTACCATAGTTATAATGAATAGAATTATTGAATAGTCGTTGCTAGTGAGAGGTTGATGATAGGTTTTTTATGTTTGAGAATAGATTCAGCTGAAGATATTTGTCACAGTCTTTTGGATCCAAGTCAACGCAATCATTCATCACAATGAATTACTAGACTCCGTGTCACTGTTACATAAAAAAATTAATAAAATATAATCTTACATGACTTCCTTTTAATAAAAAAATTATAAAATTAATTTTTCACTTTCGTTATAGAAGATAGGATATGTGTGGGCCAATTAGGAACATATGAGTCACTTTTATAATGAAGGTATATTAGCTCTAAACGACAAAGTTGAAGTATATATCAAACCCTTTTCTCAAAATATTTAGATGTAATCTGGATAAATATTATAACATCATATCCGGTCCCCTACTCTTTGACACGAACCCGAACCCTTTATCACATTTCAAAATAAATTCATTCGAAAAATATTTAAGCAAACCAAATATAAAAAACATAAAACGTTCCAAGAGTTTGTAGAGGATTAGGAGGTGAATTCTAGACATATTATATACTTACAAGGCAAAGAATGGAAATCTAGAACTTCTAGAATGAAGTAGTTGGTAAATAAATAATCTACCATCATCACCTATGAAGGTAAGTGGTTGATTTGAGTTATTTATGCTCCAAGTAAAGATTGAGTTTGCAAGTACTTATCAAACGAATTAAATTACCAGAGTGTAAGGGCAAAAGCAATTGAGTATACGAATTGTAAGATCGAAGATGATCCTTACTTGGCAATAATAAAGTTTAAAGTTGTGAGCAACCAATTGCGCCCAACAATATTCAACAATCTGCACATTTCACAAACACTTGTTCTAGCTTAGCTAGTAAAAGGTTATCTTTACAAACACATTCACTAGTGATGGTGCATTGTTGAAAATCTAGCCAACTTATGTATGAGCTATTGTACATAGACCACACCAAGGGTCAACGAGTAGTTGAAGATCCATTGCCACTCTGTGTAGCAGAGATATCCACCAATATTATTTTAAAGTTGAATTCAATGAAGACTTATAAAAGGAAGCAGAATTTTTTTTCAGTTTTTGAGTACTCCAAACTCAATATTGCAGGTTGTCTCTTGACGAACTAGTACCATTGGTCATCGGAAGAAAACATCTGATTTCATCTTGCAGCGTCCTCCATATCAGGGGACCGTAACAGATATCAAAGGTTGTTTCTCAGACAGTAGCTTATTGTTTCTTAGCATGCCTTTTATAGAAAGCATTTAGTCTCTGGAAGCCATCTTCCAGATATGATGGCTCACATGCAAAGGTTATCCTGAGCCAATTCTTGAGTCCTACAGCAACACCTGCACCAAGAGTTATTGTCAGATATCTGTACACAGCATAGCAACACAAAACTTCGTATTCATATGCTAGCTCTTACGAGTGACTCTACATGCAGTGAATTAATGCATTAATACGAGAAGTACACGAATCTTACATACATAAAACATGGTTACATCTATGGAGACTAATAAAATTTGGCAAATTTCTGCTTTTGTATCAGTTACATTGATAATCAGACATGTATATAACCCAAGAAAATGATCACTAGCATGGCAGATCTTACGTATATGGATGAATTCTATTTGTCCTGTAGGAACTTTCTAAATTGGACGCGATTAAAGGCGTGTCTGACATACTAAAAGAATTGAATGACATTATGACCCATGATTACAAAAGCTATAACGACTAAACACGAATGAGAAGCATTCCAAGACATTGAGAAAAATAAAGGAATTTGAAAAGATAGTCCTCCTAGAAAGGGACATTTGTTCAAGTAAGAAAATCTGTCTACTGTTCTCGACAGAGTTTGATTAGCTTTCTAAGAGATTTGTTTTCTTTTACCTGGTAAAATTATCAGAGATTCTTCCTTAGCCAGCTTCGCGCAAAAGTCCAGGTCATCTTCAATGTCTTCTAAGAGATTCAAATGAAGTTGAACCTACAAGAGGGAAAAGACCTATATTAGACAATTGATTACAACACAACTTCTAACTAATTAAGCTTCCGTTTTTCTCATACCATCAAAAACATAGATCCTTGAGGTTTACTTGGACAAGTGATGCAAGGAATATCCTTGATTCTCTCATAACAAATATCTGCATCTTCTCTTAGCATATTTACTATTTTAGAGAAGAAATCGTCTTTTGTTTCCTGAAGGATCTGAGGAATTGCCCCCTGTCGAAGTAAGAACAAAATGAAACTAGATAAAACAGTAAGGGATGTGGAAAATTACACCTACACTACTAAGTTCTTAGTTTACACAATACAAAGAGCTGCTAGACCAAAACAAAATTCAATTATAAAGAGCGAACCTGAATAAATGTTGCAGGATCAGTAGATATATTGAGATATCCCATAATGGAATCTATGACCTGAAAATAAGAAAACACAAGATAACAACATACATATCATTTCGCTAGAAAATAATCTTATCCTCCTTTTAAAGAATGCTAGTCAGTCTCAATCAAATATTTTACACGACATATGTAACAAAGCTGCCAATGACATACTATCAGTGTTCTACATTTCTTTAATTTATGGTGAAGTGCTCTTCAACACCTAAATTTGTCTTTATAAGTGAAATCTAAATTGTATGTGGAAGCAGTAGAGGAAGTACCCCATGTTCTTTAAGTATGCCGTTTGGATCATTTGTAACAAGCCAACCAAGTCGCCAGCCTGGGACAATCCACCTCTTTGATATGGATCCGAGTGTAACAACAGGAGCAATCGATCCAAAGATTCCCATGGGCACAAATGGTTTACTTCCAAAAGCCAGATGAGCATAAACTTCATCAGAAATAACTAAAATTCCAAGCTTCCTTGCCGTTTCTGCCACCTAATAGAAATTGAAACACCTCTTTATATTTATAATGACTTAGGATATCAATATCATAACAAAAAAGGGGAAGTACGCATACCTTCTTCAAGTGTTCTTCTGAATAGACATTGCCACAAGGATTCCCAGGATTAATAATGACCATAGCCACAGTATTTTCATCGGCCAAAGACTCAACCGCATTAAGGTCCACCTCCCACTCCTTCTCTGGGAGAAGATTAAAGTGGCGCATTTCCATTTGAGTAAATCCACCCCAAGCTTCATAATAAGGGAATCCAGGACTTGGAAGTAGAATATTTGCGTTTGGACGTGCAAGAGCATTCAAAAGTATTTCAATTGCTTGACCACATCCACTTGTTAAGTAAATATCATCAGGAGACAACTTGTATGGGAGATCTTGAGAAAGGTATTCTGCTACAGCCCTTTTTCAGAGAACAAACTAAATGAATTATTTTGAAGATCATGAATGATGTATCCAACAAATAGCTCTAAAACTGCTTCAAATTCGTCTACGCCATAAATGTAAACACAATTCTATGTAGTTAAGATTAATGTTCACAACGGAGACAAAGATCAACAACTATTTGACAAACAAAAGTTGAAGGTTATTTCAAAAACCCTGGGGAATCAGCAAAAACCAATCAAGGAAAATAAAGACAATGGACCACTTACATTTAATAACAGATAGAGTATACAGTTTAAGTTATGGCCCTCAAAAGCACTTTTACATCTTTTTCCCCATAACTGTGGAGGATATTTTTATAAATAACTATTTTTATACCATACATGCCATTTTAATACACCAAACCAAACAATGCATAAGAAATAATCTATGTACAACTAATGCAAGCACAAATAACACAAACAATACTAATACAAAATTGTTAATACATTTACCCTAAAACTGTACAGTAGGAATAAAAAAGGCCCTACCCAGTACTGTTAAGTATAAACAAAGGTGACCCTCAATTATTGGAACTTTAGACTAGATAAAGGTGCACTTATAAAACTTGAGACAGAACATTAACTTTTACCAAAAAATGTCAAAATACCAAGAAGTTGACATGCGTTAAAGAAAAGCTAAAACTTTAATCTAGCTAAACTCTGAAAAAAGAATAAGATGGCTCTGCCATAGGAGTGGAGCTAGAGTATTAATTCCAGGTTCAACATAAGCCATAGCTTTCAGCCAAAACTCTATATTTGTGTAGAGAAATCTACTTAGTATGTACTAATAACTTGTCTAGATCTAGTAAAGTATCTTTCTTAGGGCCTATTTGGATGGACTTACAAAAAATTGAACTGTTTAAAAATGGAGAGTGCAACTAAAAATAAGCTAATCCAGACGAGCACTTATAATCCAAAACTCAAAACTAAAAAATTCTGAAATAATTGAAGATAATATCAGATTTCAAACTCTTAACAAATCAAATCAATATTGTTCGATTGAAAAATGTGTACCGTCTAGCAGGAAGGATGCCGACGGTGGATGAGTAACCGTTGAACTTAGCAGAACGAACGGCATCAGAAATAGCATCTTCGGCGATTGTTGTAGTCAGAAAACAGGGGAAAGCAGAAGGATCGCCATGGCCAAGAGGGATAGTGGGTCGGGTATCAGCAGGGTCAACACAACACCTCAACTTGTTAAGAACACTTCTTACTGTGAGATCCGATACACTTACCAATTTTTCATTCTCCTTAAAGTTCCATCTTCTCATCCCTGTAGTCGTACCGTTCTCCATGCTTCTTTTGTGGCAGTGAATTTGCAGATATGGAGTACAAAGTAGCAATGGGAATAGAAATAGAAGCCAAAATATAAAAAAGACAGTAGTGGTTGAAAAATGTGTCCACCACTATATTAACATAATAAAAATATATTATTTTAACTTTAAATATAGAAAAAAATTTGAGAATTAAAAATAAACAAATATAGCCAAAAATATAACAAACGAGAAGTACTAAAATGGTCACAATTATTTGTGCAAAAATATACGAACACCATATTAATTTTTTTTCCTCCAAAACAAAATTAAATTTCTATGGTGGTATTTACGTGGAGAACTTGTATTTGACTTCGTCAGTTAAATCCTCCTAATTGTTAAATTTGCCAATGAATATTTACTCGACGAAACACAATATTCTATTTCCATCTTTTTTTCTCATCTCATCAGTAGGTGTATAATACAGCCTTACAATCAATTACGTCAAATTTTATCGCTCCATCCGTTTTAAAAAGAATAATCTAATTTGACTTGAAATAAATTTTTTTTTAAAAAAATTACTTTTCTTGTTAAAAACTAAAGTTATGTCAAATGTATCAAAATGTCATTAATCTTGTGGTCTTAAACATGTCACATGAAAATTTAAAGTTAAAGTGTTGACTAAAAAAATTTTTAAATAGACAAAAGGAAATAGAGTTATTCTTTTATAAACGAAGAGAATATTATTTTTTAACGACATATCATATTATTATTTATTATTTTATCTAAAATTATATGATGTATTTCATTTTCTAAGAGTTAAACAATTTAAATTGATATAAAATTTTTAATTTTTTGAAACGAGTTTATCTATACTGTAAACTAGTAAAAGTATAATAAGTTGTCATAATTGACCATTCAAAATATTTCAAATAATATATGAAAATTTACAGTAAAAAATAAATTTGTTTAAATTTTAAAATTCAAAATATGTCACATAAATTTGAATAGAAAAAATATTATTTGCGATGACAGATCCAAAATTAAGTACATCAAAAGATGAACAAATAAGTGTCAAAAACACACCTAAACTATTCAAACTAAAAAGTGACAGTTTAGATATGAAACTCAAACTTTAATAGTTAATATATGAAACTCACAAAATTTTAATCCGTCCCGCACTACCCTCTTAACATTTTTTTCTATTTCTAACCAGCCTCGCCCGCCCCATCCCCCTCCACTTATGTTATATTGATTTTTTTTTCTTTTCTTTATTATGTTATTTGCTAAACAAATTTTATTTTTTTATTATGTTTTCTTTAACGGTGAAGATCTAGTTTAATTATTTTCTTAGTTATTGTTTTGTTAAAACACACAATTTTGTTAAAACAGTTCATAAATTCTATTATGTTTACAAATCATTTCAATTAAATTTCATGAACTAAAACCCATTACATAAATTAAAATGTATCAAGACAATAAATAGGTTAAGACCCAATCAAATTTAAATTTGATTGGCCAAAATAGATTGAATTAAAACGTAATAGATAACGAGTTAGTTATGGATCATAATTCAATCCGCCCTAATTTTTAATATGAGCGCATACATTTTCAAAGGAAAAACATAATTAAGTAAATCATAGATTTAAGAGGTTGAGCTTTAAAAAAAAATAGAGTCTATTGATGAAAAAACAATAGTCAACCTTGCACAAATTAAACAATCTGCACATTTCACAAACAATAGTACCTTCTAGCTGAAAGTATACCTATGTTATATAACCCTCGTTATGAATGAGATAGACTATATCTTTATATTAATTACCATGTAATTTGCCCCTATGAAATTGTATTGAACTTGCAAATAATTTTTTACTAATTTTTCATGCTTTAATAATAATGAAATATAGGTTCTTACAAAAAATATTAGCAATACTCCAATCTGAAATTGATTATCTTTTATTATTACATAACTCAAGAATCTCTAATGAATGAATTATACACAAAACAATAAATTATTGATTCTTAAATCAATATTAAAAGAAAAATAAAGAAGAAAATAAGCATATATATACAAAAACATTTTATAATATAAAAAAATTATTTAATTTGCTATAGATTATATAATTGTGATATATGTCCTAGAAGAAAATTCAAGAATTTGTTAACATATTTCAAAAGAAATTGCGCTTGAACATGAAAACAATTATAATTTTTAAAACTTGTATAATGAATTTTTCAATTGATAAGTGAGAAATTTTATTTCTATGTAAAAATAAATAATATGTAAGCTTATATATAGTACTTTTAAGTTATAGAATTTAATATAGAATAACAAAACGTGAATTCTTGAAATTGAGTACAATAATTATTTTCTGAACAATGAATATACATACTATATGTGTATATGTTCAATATAACTGGAGACAATAACGTTGCAGAAACATAAACAACAGTGTATAAAACATGTACTCAAAAATAACAATTAATATAATATGCATAAATTAATGAGTGTAAAAAGACATATCAGGATATATAAAAATAGAATGAAATTAAAAGAAAAAAATCGAGTCCACTGGATGCACAATGTCCCCTTAAGAAAACTATTCCTCTCCAATACCAAAGGTTTAAAGAATTACATTATCTCAGGATGAAACCAATTTATTCACCAACTTATTCATAAAAAAATACACGAATATTTAATTTTACAGAGGTAGAAGAAGAAGATCAAAATTTTGTTGTTTTAAAATGAGAGGAAATCCCTCTATTTATAGACAACAAAGGGTAGTGTGAGCAAGTGTTTATTTTGCCTTATCAGAAAGGTTACAATTATTTGGAAAAATTGCAATCCTTTGAAAAGTTCACAATTTTTCATTAAAGTCGAAACTTTTCATAAAGTCACAACTCTTCATTAAAGTCACAATTTTTCATAAAAGTCGCAACACTTCATTAATCAAAAGTTGTGACTCTCCATTAAAGTCGCAATTTTTCATAAAAGTCATATATTTTCATGAAAAAGGGAGACAAGTTTTGAAAATAAATAAATTTAAAAGAAAATTTTTGTATATGGTGGTGACACCACGTAAACGGACTTAAGATTCTCTTTTATATAAATATATAATATTAATAACATGAATTTCGTAAAATCGCGAAAACTAATTAAAATAGAATACATACTAATCTTATCAGTATCTCTTTATACATAATAACATGAATTTCGTAAAATTGTGGAAACTAATGAAAATAGAATACATACTAATTTTATCGGTATCTCTTTGAGGTACAAACTAGAAAAGGTAGATCATTTATTAAAAACACCATATTTAAGGGTTAATATAACTCATAAGTTTTAATACATTAATTAGTATTTTGAAATTCGATGTATTGTGAACAAAAGTTTCCACTATAATTTCATTATTCTTAAAAAAAAAAACATCCTAAAATAATAATAATTAAAATCTTTGATTCTCAAATCAAGTATTTTTCTGTGTACATTAAGAGAAATGGATAAATATGAGATTAAAAAGAGCGAGATCCTTGTTTTCTGGAAGAAAAAATAATTAGGACAGTATAAGTCTGGCGATGAGACATAATCTGTAACGACCCGTTTAGTCGTTTTGAGCAACAGACTTCAATTCTGGAAAAACTGGCAGAAGCGACGGACCCCACGACGGATCGTCATGGG